CTTTTAAAACTCTGGCTTTTTTTCTGTGTCTCAGTGAGACCAGGGCTGGCGTGGGCTTGTGGACCCGGGGCTTGCTGATGTTGCAAAGTCTGTGACAGCTGGACCTGCCTATGATGGTGTCCAGTCTCTGCTCCGATCTAGGCTTCAAGGTAGAGTGGGAACATAACAGTCCCTCTGCCCCAGAGAGGGTACCCACAGCTCCTCCTCTCCTGGGGTGAGTTCTCCCCTTGTCTCTTTCATATGTTAGTTGCTCTTTCAAACCACATCCTTTTTTCTGTGCCCCAGGACAGAGGGATGTGTTCTCCATTCTCTGTCCCTCAGTATCTCCCTCCCCACTGCCCTTGACAGCGTGGGTGCCATCCCCTGCAGTGTCTCTTGCTGTTCTCTTGCCATTCTCCCTGCCTTTGGTTATTCAGTAGCTCTTCAGTCAGCCCTCAGTACTTCAGGGGAAATTGTTCTATCAATAGGTGTAATTTGTGTTCTGGTGGAGGAAGGGAGTCCAGGGTCTTCCTACATTGCCATCTTGGACCTGACTCCTGGGAACTCCTGGAAACTGCATTTTTAATACAGCCTGCAGGAGATTCTGATACAGGGGTTTCTGGGACCACACGATGTGAAAGACTATCCAGAAATATTTTGTAAAAAGTAGTTTCTTGCAGTAAATTTACTTGTGGGGGACAATTTGCAACAGGAGACCTGGATGAATTTTGCGTGGTCAGTTTACTAGCTGTGGGATGATCCATGAGTCAAATCACTGAGTCTGAATTTCCTTGTTTTGCCCCACACCAAATACAGGACGCCAAAGCCCCGGAGTGCAGTTTAGATCTGTGAGGCCTAAGACCATCCTTTCGTTTTTCCAGCTGTAAAATGGGAATAGTAACCCATGTAATACTGTTTAAAGGCTGTCTCATAAATTCATGTATTTATGCTTCAAGCTCTGAAGGACTGATTAGGATCCTGAGATTTTTTTTTTTTAATTTTTGTAAAACTTCTAGCCATGATGTATATAATCATAAAAACCTAGGGAGTATAGTTTTCATGGTTGATTTGATGAAAGAGTGGTCAGGTAGATAGGAGAAAGGCTCCCTCCATTCTTGAAACTACAGAAAGCAGAGACTCTTGTGTAACAAAACTGACATATGGTTTCCCCAACAACAGGAGTATCATGAGCTGTTTTGAGTCCAGGGATGATTGTTGTATCTAGTGAGAGGAGCCTGCAACTTGGAAAAGTCTGTAACTCTGATTGGTTCTCTTACTTCACAGTTTGTTATCCTGGTCATCATAAAGTGACATACCTCTATAAATGGTACAAATACTTGTGGTACTGTAAACGGTATAAATACTACCCTTAGACTGAGGTAAGAGGGGCCCCTGGCTTTGGCCCTGTGCTTTAGAGGGTCCCACATTTCATAGACACACACAAAAATGCAAATTTTTAAAAGAAGACGTGGTGTCTCTGCTGCTCAGAATCTGGTGCTTAACCCTAGCAGAGCAGGACTTGCACAACCTAAACATCCAGCCCAAGGGAAATGTGTCTCTGTGTTTACTGTCTTTGCTCAAAGAGGAAGGAAGTTGTATTGTGCAAATTTCTGTGTTGGGAGGGTGCTGATTTGAGAGACATAAACAGGTTTGGAGTGCAGGGAGGAGCTGAGCAACAGAAGTGGTTAGATTAGGGAAAAGGCAAATTTATCCACCTGGTCAAAGCCTTCCTTTCAGCCTGAATGAAGAATTATTTTCCAGTACACTAGTACCGGTTGCCTCTCTTCATGCTTCTCTTCTTACTCTAATTTCTGGCTCAAGAAGCACTCATGAATCAGTACAGTATTTGCAACAGTTGCATAGGGTAGTCAAATGACATTCTGCAAATTAAGAAATTCACAGTCCTCTTACACCTGTAAGCATGTATTAGATTTCTACATGGAGTCAAATTTCCTTCTGCATTTGGACTCTTCTTTGGAACCAGTTTGCCCATGAATGGTTGTTCAGTACCAGTGTTTAAAGATAAAATGATATAGGACCTGATTTTCATACCCATACTCTACTCAGACAATAGGATACGGGAGTTCTCCAGCCTATTTGTTGAGTACAAAAGCAGTAACAGTATTTTATTTATTTTTTATTTTTTTTTTAAATTTTATTTATTTATTTGACAGAGAGAGACACAGCGAGAAAGGAAACACAAGCAGAGGGAGTGTGAGAGGGAGAAGCAGGCTTCCCGCGGAGCAGGGAGCCTGATGCGGGGCTCGATCCCAGGACTCTGGGATCATGACCTGAGCCGAAGGCAGACGCTTAACGACTGAGCCACCCAGGCGCCCCAAAAGCAGTAACGGTATTTTAAATGCTAGTAATAAGAAGGGTACAATACAATGAAAACAAACCTAGAGGTTAAAAATAGAAGGCAACAGAAGAGCTGGCTTTCTTTATATTCATTTGGAACACGAGTCAATTCATCAGTTGATTAATCTACTTTTTGGCTATTATGAGTTTTTTAGTAGTTACATTGAAATGTAATCTATATACCGTGCAGTTTACCCACTTAAAGGGTCCAATTCAATAGCTTTCAGCATTTCACAGAGCTGTGCAACCATCACCACAGTTAATTTTAGAAGATTCTCATTACTCCCAAAAGAAAATTCCATGCCCCTTTGTTGTCACCTATGATCCTGCCACTCACCCCAGCCCTTAGGCAACCCCTATCTACTGTCTATCTCTATAGATTTGCCTTTTCTGAGCATTTCATATTAATAGACCTTTTGTGATTGGCTCCTATCATTTAGCATAATGTTTTCAGGGTTTATCTATATTGTAGTATCAGTGCTACATTTCTTTGGAATAAATGTAATAAGTACTATACTTATTTATACTGCTGAGTAATATTCCACTGTGTGACTATCCCTTATTTAATAGGTCAGTTCATCAGTTGAAGAATCTACTTTTTTTTCTTTTTTTGAATATTTTATTTTTTTATTTGAGAGAGAGAGAGTGAGAGAGAGCACAAGCAGGGGGAGGGGCAGAGAGAGAGGGAGAAGCAGACTCGAGCCTGCTGCGGGGCTCAATCCCAGGACCCTGAGATCATGACCTGAGTGGAAGTCAGATCCTTAACCGACTGAGCCACCCAGGCACCCCTTATTGAATCTACTTTTTGCCTATTATAAATAATGCTGCTATGAACTCTCACATGTAAGTTGATAGCATGTTTTCCTTTCTCTTGGGTACATACCTGGGAGTGGCATCGCCGGGCTATACAGTAGCACTACGTTTAACCATTTGAGGAGCTGCCGAACTGTTTGTGAGTCCCTGCGCCGTGTTATACAAAGAATTTTAGTTGTTTTCCCTCTTGCAGCGTCCCAGGAAGGTACAGATCACCAGCAAGAAGCAGTTGTACTGTAAACCAGAAGGAAAGTTTCTTACTTATTAGTCAAACCAAATGACTCCCTTCCCAAAACTAGGTGATGGGGGGATGGTGGAGGAAGGGTGGGGAGACAGGAACACATGGTCTCTGGGGAACCCACATTTCCCTGGTTGGCATCCCAGGTTGATTGTGCACACGTTGCACTGGGCGCAGATTGAAAGGCAGTTGACAGGAGGTAGGAAGAAAGATAAACATGGACCATGACTCGAGGTCTGCTGCCCCTGGGGACTGTCTCTGAGCTCTGTGGTAAAAGGGGCTACGGGCAGAAGCTGATGAATCTTTCACTGAGGACTCTGAGGCTGGCAAATCAGTACTCAGTACTCCTTGGCACCCAGCCAGATGAGAGAAATTCTCCTTACTCCTTCATGGTCACTAACGTATTTGAGAACGTCTTTGTCAGGGTATCAGGACTCTCAGGGTGGCAATCAGATGTAGAGAATGATGAGACGTGTTGAAGCAGTTTTGTGGGCAGAGGACATTAGTGCGTATGGGTGCCCGAGGAGACACATAACAGATGCGATTGGGTCATTCTGATGGACTTGTTCATCAACACCCAGACCACGCCTACCAGGGGCTTGTTATTTTCCTTGGTGGGTATCTGAGGGGAGTCAAATGTCGTGCACTGAGAAATGACGCTAAGAGCCAGGGGATGACGAGTCATCCCAGGTAACGTGGCTCCATTCATTGTCCCTGGATAGTGAGATTTCAGGGAACGTGAGCTATAAACATAGTTTTGTTTATTGTTTTCTAATCATTTCCATGGGCTTTACATCCTCAAATAAAAATTGAGTGTACTATGTCATCTGTCTCCTCCCTATTCTTTCCACCTTTTTCCCTTCAGGAACCTGTTCTAGCAAGGGTTTTGCTGCATGGGCAAGATTGCGTACACCTGGTGGGCCTTCTTCAGCACTCTACAGGGACTAGTGGTCCTCTCGCAAGGTCAGTGTGCCTGCCTCTCTACCTTCCATTCAGAAGACCCCTGGTTTTCCTCCCCAGGCACCAGATCCAATAAAAAGGAAGCTAAACCTTTCCCTAAGATGTACGCTAGTCCAATTCAGTCCGATGGAATGAGTTTACCTTTTCAGCTGGTGTAAATCTTATTTTCCATCAAGACCTCTCAGAAAACAAGAGAGACTTCAGGGCTGTTTGTCTCTTTCTATTCTTTAATTAATAGGAGAAAACTCTCCAACATGCGTTTGGATCGCCTCCAGAGTGGCATATAACAGAATGGGCGACACTTCCTCATTCTCATAATGGAGGGCGGAAGAGGAGACAGAATGCAGATGGAAACACATGGTGTTAACAAGATGTAACAGAGAGGAGAAACAGTCCACCCACTGTCCGAGTGTGGGGGCTGGGGGTTTGTGTGCACGGGGGTGCACGGTGGTGGGCGTCAGGGTGTAAGCTAGAGTCCTGGATTCTTAAGGCTTAGAGAGAAAAAAATAAAGTCTGTTCCATTCAGTGGTTATAATGTTAGACCAGTCTGGGTTATATGGAGCCAGTTTGCAACCAATAAAACGTTGCATTACTCAGTAGCTGGGTCTAGAAGACTTATAGTGCAGCAAAATTTCAAAAAAAACCAGAACACTCCTTTATGTTCCATCACCTCTAAGTTATTTATTCATTAAATCTATGGCTTTTTTCAGGAATCCATACTATGCATACTGCTGGTCTCAAGTGCACACAACACAATTTTTAATACAGAAAATAATGTGAAAACCATTATGGTAGTTGGAATTTTTAACTTAAAAAAATCTTGAAGTTTATATAATGTTTTCATTGCTTAATAAAAATGTTAATATATACTTAAAGTTGTTAAAGTACATTTCACATATAATACTGTACAAATTTAAGATTGATTTGATACATGTATACATTATAATATGATTGTAGCGAAAGTTACTGTAGTGATAGTTATCACCTTTATCATATAATTATCATTTCTTTTCTGTGGTGTGAATAATCAAGATCTAGCCTCTTAGCAAGTTTGATGATTATAATACGATATTGTTGTCTATATCCAAGATACTATACTATACCTTAGATCTCCAGGACTTATTTACTAGTTGTAAGTTTGTACCTTCAAACAACATCTCTCCCACCTCCCCAACCCCCAGCCCCTGGTAACCACTATTTAAATTTAAATTAATCTGAACAGGCAAATCTTTTGCAACCCAGAGGATGACTGAGGGTCTGTTTCATGCTGGGTCACCTGAGTCTGTTTTGGTTCGCACTAATCCTGATATCATGGGCCATTCAGTATTTACCTAGAAAACCCCAATCACCCCACGCAAACCATGAATTTTATGGTTCCCTTGAGGATTTTCAGGGTGAGAAGTTTTATTTCACCTAACGTACAACATGTCTAATTGGGGAAAAAAACTCTTTGTTATTGATGTCATTTCACAAGACCTTTCGCTAGGTCCTTGGTGTCCAAATGAGCCTTCTGTTCTGCTGTTTTTTTATTACCTTGGGCCTGCGCTCATCCAAGCATTTCCGAAAAAAGCAAGTCTTCGTTGTACAAGGAAATTTTCCTAACAGTGGCCAAGAAAATGAGATTTTTCTCCATGTGATTACAGTCTACAATGACAGCATTCTTCTCTCTTTCTCTTGTCTACTCAATCCCTGTGCCTACTGGCATGACATTTATTTTTCCAGACATTTTAAAGAAATGAATTATTTTGCTTTCTAGCATATTCTACAGAATCCCCCTTTTTAATTCTTCACATGCTGGAATACAGGGAGGGCAGAATGGAGGCGAAATCTCCCCATGTGCCTTCTGAAACTCTTGGACCCTGATGGCCTGACCCCATTGCTTGTCTTGGATGTGTTCTTTCTAAATTCAACCTGTGCTCTGTTCTCTTTTTTTCAAACTATGTTCCCACCTCAGTCAATGGGACAACTGAACTCAGGTTGTATAGGACAGTCTAGATTGAGGACTGTCTGGGGAGGAGGCGGAAGTGAGGGGGAGGAGATACCCAGTCCTATGGAGGCTTTGGTCCCCTGGCCTTTCAATGGACACAGCACATTAGCGTCTATGCAGGGCCAAACTGTGTAAGATCTAAAATGACTCCAAGGGTGGAAAAACATTGCAAAAACGGACCACACTGTTACAGATGTGAGGGATCTGGCTGCTTTATATGAAACCTAGACACAAACCCAAGGCATCACCGCGTGGAGGATGACTAAGGGAATGTCACAATGCAAACTGCTCCCAAGAGGTCACTTGGGAAGTAGCCCCCTAACCAAGCCCTGGGACCCTCTCCGCTCCAGTCTAGTCCCTGTCTCAGAATTCCATGAGCAATTCATGTTTTAACACTCGGCCCAGCAGGTTCCTCCACAAACCTGGTCCAGACCCATGGCCAGCAGCCCAGTCCATGCCTATGCCACTGTACCAGTTGTCCAATATCGTGAATACCCACTTGGTGGTGGGGTTTCTGCTCCCTTCCCTCCATCGTCCCACTCGCACCGAATCCCGATTCCTCATTCCTCAGCAAAAGATGCTGAACAGAGGAAGCTTCCAGAGTCCAAATGCCTCTCAGGATTTTCCTTTGCTGGCCGCATGTCTCTACTCAGCTCCTGAAGAAACGCCAAGAGGTGCAAAGCTACAGAATCAGCTTCATTTTTAGAAAGCCTGATACAGGCAATTTTTTGGAGCTTATTTTTCATCTTTTCTTTCTCCTTTGATTCCAGGTCGATTTTCACACCCTGTATGAAATGATGGATGGCCTTGTCCTCACTCTTCATTTGATACAGCTGGAAGTTGCCATAGCGCAGATGGAGCACCTGTCTGGCCCCAGGAGAAAGCGCTTTGCTGAATTCTTTTTGGAAGTAATGCTCCGCGTGGTCATACTGGCCTACCTGCGCACAGAGGCAGGCCAGGTAGGAGCAGACACAGGGGAAGTCTGCATTGGCCTCATCCACTCTCTTTAAATGATGCACAGCTTGTCCTATGGCTTCCTGTAACTTCCTTCTCCCGCACATCTCATTGGTTCCTGTGTCCTGGATCTCGAGGACTTTTGTCCTGTAGAGGCAGCCGATATGCCAGTGCAGGGAGGCATTGTTCGGCATGCCTTCTAGAGCCTTTCTCAGCAGCTCTATAGCTTTGTCCACCGCCCCTTTTCTCTGATACAGTTTTGCTGCTCCGCAGAGCACATCTGTCGCGCACGGGGCTCCCTTCAGCGCCTCCTCCACGAGCCTGTCTCCTTCCCCCTCTTCGTTCATCTTCTGAAGTTTCAGAGCCAAGAGGACTTTGGCATACTGGTTGTGGGGATTCAGCCGAATGGCCCGCCGCAGAGGGTCGACGGGATTCTGAGACTGCGGCCAGATATCCAGACGGTAGCTCGCGATGGCCAGTCCGGAGGCGAACTCCGGGTTCCTGGGCTCCTTTTCCAGAGCCTTCTCAAAGCACACCTTGGCCCTCTTGTGGTGGTGCCTCCCTGCACACTGTAAGCGGGCCCACCCCTCCTCGAAGTCCAGCGCAGGACTCTCCATTCTGTAGGGGCTGCGAGACTTCTCGCAGACCTGTCTCACCTTGTCGACGTACATCTGAGCGTCTGCGTGGCTGCCCAGGTGATGGTAGACCCAGGCGTAGTTACCCCAGGTGACCAGACTCCGGATTTCCGCTTGAGCCGCGTGCTCCCGCTGGATCAGCTCCTCCGCCTGGCGCAGGTGCTGCAGCGCCGCCTCGCGGCGGCCGCGCCGGGACTCTATGTAGGCCAGGAGGTTGAACACCGTGGCTCTGAATTCGTCGTTCTGAAACTCTGTGGCGTCACACACCTCGTCTTCGAAATCATCCAGGGGCTTTCCCGGCTCCACCAAGTCCCAGGTGAAATGGCATTTCAGTTGCCGTAGGCAGCTCTCCAAGGCGGTCCTGGTGCTCTCACTGGAGGGCAAAACAGAAAGAGGCACGCTTTCAGACACAGCGCGGATTCTCCAGGCAAGAAGCGGGGAGCATGGCAAGTATGAATCTCTTACTCCTCCTCCCCGACGGTGTTCACCCCAACCAGAAAAGAACACGACTTCCTTTTCGTTTCTTTCTATGTTTTGGCGTATGCGTGAAGTGCACGGGACGCCGGGTTGGTGACTGTGGGCGGCAGAAGGATTAGGGAGAGGGTTGGAGTGGGGATTCCCTGAATAAGGGCCGTTTGTGTCAGGTCGAGCTGGCCCTCTGCCGTCTGCCCTGAGAGCCTGTGCCGGGGCAGACACATCTGGGGGAACGGGTTTCCAAGGAGGATTGACTTCATGCAGCTTTTTGATTTTAAAGATTTTATGAAAGAGACAGAGAGAACATGAGCAGGGGAGGGGCAGAGGGAGAGAGAGAGGGAGAAGCAGACTCCCTGCTGAGTGTGGAGCCCAAGGACTGGGGGGGGGGCCCTCCACGTGGCGCTCGACCCCCGGACCCTGAGATCATGACCTGAGCCTGAGCCACAGCCACACGCCGAACCAACTGAGCCACCCAGGTGCCCCTGACTTGATGCAGTGTTTAAGAAAGGCCATTTGATTGCTTTGTGTTCCTGTTCTTCATCTTACGTAGCGAAAATGCTTTCCTAGTTTGAAAATTTTAGCTTTAGAATTGTCTATTCTGTTCATGTCTTGCCGGCTTGATTTTAATCTCATTATCCCTCTGAAATCCAACTGCATTTTGCCTCCTATAGTTTTAGTTTCTTAGTTCTCCTTAATTTGTCCTTTTTGCCCTTAGTACTTTACATTTCCTGTCTTATTAGTTGAGCTTTCCATATATCCTTAATTGATTTTCTTTGGTTATCCAAACTTTTTTTTTTAATCAAATTGGTTTTGTCTTGTCTTTTTATTAATTTGGCATTCCAAGTTCTCCTTTTATCTGACCTTTTCCATTTTAACCATTTAAATCATATTTCAACAATTCTAAATGCTTACTTATTTCCTCTGCTTTTGTGTTATTCTACCATTTAACTTTATTATCATCGTATATCTTAGCAATGTTTTAAACTTTTATTTTGGAATAAAATATAATCATTTTTTTCTCTCCTCCACCCCACCGCTATTTCTTAGACTGGTGATTTCTGTTCTTAACATTTTTTCATGGTATATATTAATTAGCCCTTTTATGAGGAGCCGATATAGTAAATATTATGGATTCTGACATAGACAAGCAGTGGGTATGTGGGAAGTTATGTTATGTGGCAAAGACCGTCTTTGAAATGCTTGTCCAAATGGAAGATTATATTCCCCCATTTTCTTCCTGCCCCCTATCTTCCACTTTTTAGACCCCTCTCCCCAATTTGATGATTAGATCAGGGCTGAGCACCAAAACTCAAGTGGAAGCTGGAAATGGAGCTGGTGCGGCGGGGGGGGCGGGGGGGAGCCAGGTGTCTGGAATTAGGGAGAGCACCGTGCATGCTGGAGGGCTCTCGGGGGCCATGATCTGCTGCACGCCCTGCAGAGAGTGTGACCTGGACGTACATGGAGCGGACAGAGTCTGGGTCCCCCACGCTCTCTGTTGTCCTGTTCTGGCCCTTCTGGGGTTGCTCTAGTCCTGTGTGTGGGTCCTGTGAGCCATTCCAGGAACTTTAAATCAGTTCCTGTTCATTTCTGTTACTTGAATCAGATGGAGACTTAACTACCCCAAGTAGAATAAATAGAGAGAAAGAGAAAATGGGTAGGAGTTTCTGCGTGGGGAAGGACCCTCTGTCCATTCAAAGTCCTGGACAGGTCTTCGTGAGGAGCCAGGTTGTCTGAGCCTCTTGATGTAATATGGGGAATGGCATGGGTGGTGTGTGTATGTGCGTGCACACGCGTGTGTGTGTGTGTGAGCCCAGGAGGGTGCCTGGCCTGGTATCTGGCATTGTAATGACAGCAGCCTCCCCTTCAAAAGTGCGTGTCCAATCTGATCTATTTTCCTTCTCGGTAAGGTTACATAAGCTTAGCAATAAGCTTTTTAGCGACTTTCTCATTTAATTTTTTTAAAGATTTATTGATTTATTTTAGAGAGATAATGAGAGCAGGGGGAGGGGTAGAGGGAGAGGGAGAGAGCGAATCTCAAGCAGACTCCCCGTAGAGTGTGGAGCCTGACATGGGGCTCGATCACACGACCCTGAGATCATGATCTGAGCTGAAATCAAGAGTTGGAGGCTTAACTGACTGAGCCACCCAGGCGCCTCGCAACTTTCTCATTTTATAAAAGAAGCAGAGAGAGTGAATACAGTTGAAATTTATCTCCAACATATAAAGCACATAGTCAATTGTGCATTTGCAGGATAGAGGCATTTACTATACACACTTAGGTAAAATCCCTTTGAGCAGCCATTCAAAAGTACCCCATTTCACTGGGTGATTATGGGCTTTTATTTTCACCAGTAAATCAGAAGCTGGTTCCAGACGTTTGCTTCCTGGGCTCAGACTTCTGAGACCTATGTTTCTGATGGCTCTAGAAGTTCCAACTGTTTACACACAGCAATGTCTTGCCTTGCTTCTTGTCCTCATGAAAGCCACAGTGACACCGCTTACCAGGCCCAAAACTAATGCTGCCACCAGTGTCTTAGGGCATTACTCACACCACTGAGGAACCTGTTAGAAATGCACATCCTCAGACCTCAATTTAGGACTACCAAATCAGAATCTGAAGTGGGGGGGGGGTTGAGCCCAGGAATTGTCTTTAGCAAGCCTTCCAGATAGATCTTACACATGCTCAGATTTGAAAACCACTGTCTTAGAGCTCAGGGCCAATGCCTGGTGACAGTGCCTATAGCTAAGGGATCAAAGAAAATTAAAAAAGAGACTGGTGGGTTTGTGTTATTAAGGGAGAGATTCGAAGAGAAGACCATGCTAAAGTTCTAAGCAGTAGGAACAAGGTTTCTAAATATTCTGAGTTACTCTAGAAATAGACATCTGGAGAGATATCAGATCTTTTTCTTTCTTATCAGGAAGACATGCAGAGTAGCAGAAAATATATTGCTTCAAGAAGAGACATCAGGAAGCTTATAGAAGGAGGGCAATGTGTCCTCTAGGAAATGAGAGCTGGGACTGGCGTTCCTGCATGCTGGAGCTCCCCGGACTGAGGCTGAGGCATCTAGTCTGGCCACACCCTCACACTGGACAAAACAGAAAGCTCCCTTCCTACCCTGCTTCCTCGCAGGGCAATCTTATGTTTCTGGGGTGTAAGAGCATTTTAGAGGTAGGGGCTATTTTCTCCAAGCACCCCACATCCAATTCATACTTCAGAGAGAAGGACTCTAGCCAATCAGTAGCATTTTGGGGTAAAATATATTTCTGTCGAATGAATGGATACATTTTACCAGCCCTAATGCACATAGGAGATGAATGAACACATTAAAAGTAAAATCTACCTTAGCATGAGCTGGGGTTGCTACCCGGAGTACATTTTAACCTTATCTGCTAAAAACAGATCCTTTGTTAAATAAGAATCTTATTAAAAGCCCCTCGCATCATCCTTTCAAATAAGAAACAAGAGAGAGAGACAGTCTACAGGAGCCCCGCCCCCGCCCCCGCCGGACCCATCTTTAAATGAAGCACCTGCCGGATAAACATCTCTCCGTCTGCCCTCCCTCCCTCCTCTGGCCCTCGGCGGTCAGCTTCCCCGTGAGAGATGCCCTGAGGAAGCTTGACAGTGTGGGTCCGAAATTCGCAGAAATAAGCAAGCCGGCAGTGATGAGACAAATACACGACCTAGACCGCGGCAAGGCTGCAGACAGACGCTGAGGCAAAACAACCCGGCGCTTGAGCTTACGGAGTAGGGCTTTGCGTTCCACAGCGAGACTGATTGGACATTTTCAACACCATCAGCGCAGGAAATTTACCTCATGACTGAGGAGAGCTTCCCGGCTGTTCTGAAAGGCTGCAAGTCAGGCTACAGTGCTCTTCAGAAGTCTTCCTCCTCTGCTTCCAAGAGATGCTCAGGAGGCCTATATATGGAAGCATTTCTTGGTTCCTTTGCCTTGTTTTCCTGCGCTTCGCTTTAGGAAAGAGAAACTGAAACTGGAAAGTACAACTAACAGGGCTCTAAGAGGAAATGAATCTTGAGTAAGAGCCGCGCCTATAGCACCCCCCAGCCCCCACCCTGTAGTGAGTCAGAACTCCCTCTTTCTGACGGTCGTGATGTCCCAGATCAGCTGACATGAAGGGGGCCCAGCTTGGAGAAGGACACAGATACCAAGCACCAAGCACCCTGCCTCATTACCGCGCTCTGCCCGCCCTTATCACCAGCATGGCCCTCAGACCCCAGTAAGGGGCACATGTGGGCTTTTGTCTGTTTCATTCACTGCTGAATCTCTAGTCCCTGCGGTAATAGCTGCCGCACGCAGGCATTCAGAAGGTAGAGGTTGAATGAATGAATACGTGATCAGAAGTGTGGGCTCTGATGTCATCTGTCTGGATTTGAACCCAGGCTCCATGTATGAGCTGTGACACTGGAAATTATCGAACGTTTCTCTGTACCTTAGTTTGTTCTCCTATGGAATGGGGATCCCACTACTACTACCAACTCATAATGGTGTTGTGTAGATCAAATGGGTTAAAGCCATGAAATGTCCTTGGACTATGCCTGGCACATAAAAAGTGCGTGCAATTTTTTTATAATAAATCATAGCTATAGTCATTATTAACCAAAGAGACCAGAAGGGAAACTTTTGATGTTGCCTTTTGGAGAACTTTAGCTCCCCTGATAGTCCACCATCCATCCGTCACGCGCGCTAACCTAAGCCAAACGGCTCCTAACACCTGTACACATTCTGGGCTTCCCCAAGCACCACAACATCTAAAATCCCTTGGCTCACCCTGGTGTCCGGCACTCCCACATCGTAATTTGGAACCATGGCAGTTTGCTATAATGGAAGAAATGCACTTTCTTTGCTTTTTCCTTATTCATACCCTTGATCGCAAAGGGATTACTGCATGTGTGGACCCAAGAGGAAAAGAGGTAACAGCACTAGGAGTCTGATGTCAGGAAATTACACAGAGCACGAGGGAAGCCTCCTCTCCAGGACCACTGAGTACAGCTGAGGCACGTAGTTCAGTCTTGGAGAAAGCCTTATGGATGGCGGGTTATGTCTGCGAGCAGTGGGGCGGAAGCAGAAGCTATGCTTCTTGATGGTTCTCTACCCTTTGATTGGGACACACAGCCCAGCCTATCCCAACTGGAAAGCAGAAGACACGTTGTACATGTTAGTGGTGGGGTGAGTGGGTGGGTGGTGGGAGTAAAGATGAAGGCATGGAGGAAGACCGGGAATCCAGAGACTCGTCGATTAGGTACAGGGATCTTCAGACGTTGATTAGTGTGGCTTGGACCCAGCAGGAACCAGTTGCAGAATAGACACCAGTGGGGTGGTCCTGGCATTCTGGCGTGACCATCTTTTGTTTTGAATTTGTTCTGTTGCATACTTTTTTTGACAATGTGATATATGCTCTGGGTATCAAATTCAAAATTTAAAAATCTATGCAGTTGAAATATATGTCTTCCTCCCATATGGACTCCCAGACAGCCCGTTCCTTCTCTGGAGGCTACCCTAGAGGAAATATATCCTTTTCCAAATAGTCTATGCATAATGTGATATGCTTTTCTTCCTCCTTCTCCCCTTCCTTTGAACAATGTTAGCACGCTGTATACACTCTTCTGCACTTTTATTCTTTATTTTTTAATATATCTCAGAGATAGTGTTCTATATTTTTACATTTAGAACTACCTTATTAGTTTTTACAATAGCTGCATGCTGTTCTGTGTATGAAATATGAAAATTGAATTAATGAGTCCCCTAGTGATGGACCTTTGAGTTGTTGTCAGTCCTTTGTTATTATAAACAAAGCTTCATGAGTATCTTTAATCATGACTTTGCATGCATATGCAAATGCAGGATAGATTAATGAGTGGAATTGCTGGGGTGAAGATTCACGAATGCCAAATTGCCATCAACAAATGCCGTCCATCTACACGATTTATAATCTCAATGGCGATGCATGATGGAGGCTGTTTCCCCACATCCTTGTTAGTACCCTTTTCTTGAAAGGTGTTTCTTTGGTTGACCTGAGATGACCTCTCTTAATAGTGTTGGTTTGCTTTGCTCTTAATAAGAGCAACATTGACAATCATTTCACGTGTTTAAGCCATTTTAATTTCCTGACCTTTGCCCATTTGTCCAAAGGATCTGTTTCATCATTAAGGAAGTTAATCCTTTACCTGGTAATGTACTAAAACCGTATTTTTAAGTCTGTCATTGATCTTTCAACTTTCCGGAGGTCCCTCCTCTAGGAAGCGTGTTTTAATGTGGTTGAATTTCTTAATGCTTTTGCCCTTTCGTGTTTTGTTTCATACTCACAACTTCCAGACCTGTGATTTAAAAAATCCTCTCAAGAATTCCTGTAGAAATTTTGTGATTTCTATTTTTTAAACATTTAAATTTTTGGTTTGTACGGAATTCATTTGGGAGCAGAAGGAGCAAGGAAGGAGGACCAGGCCTCAGTGATGTTGTCTTCTCTTGTTCTGTCAGCGGTGTTGAGTGCCTACTGTATGCGAGGCCGAGTGCAAGGTGCTGGGTGAGAGCTGGGGGGTGCAAACTGAGACTAAAGCAGAGTCCCACGGTCCCAAAGCAAGTGCTTGCCCTCAAAAGAGCTTTTGCTCAAAATATCTATAGGACAGAGGAAAAGTGATTCTGCATTTTCAGGTCTGGCTGAGAGAATTTGGGGAACCCGGAAAAAGAGACAGCAAAATGAAAAGCCCAGCCATCTGGCCCAGCTCCTGCAAGTTGCAGCTTCTCTGTCTCTCTGTGTGCCCGTTTCCCTCCCCTTTGTGACCACCTCGCCAGGCCTCCTACCCCTCTGTCTCATTCTCGCTCTGTCTCTTCTCTCTCGGAAGCCCTGAAGACTGGTTACAGGCTCTCTCTAGGGCCTTCCACTCCTCTGGGTGGTGGGCCCCACCCGCGCCCCCTGTCATTTCCTCGCTGCCCTTCTCAGCCCGCAGGGCAGCCTCTGGGGGCGGACTGTCCCACGGGTGCCCCTTTCTATTCAGCTCGCGAATGAACCTGGAGAGTTGCCAACCCACAGCATCGAAGGTGTTTTCAGAGAGTCGCTTGTGGGCAATTTTTCTTAGGTTGACGATCAGCTTTTCCTTCTCGGTCACTGTCCCATTGATGTTCAAGCCCTGCAGGTAGTGGCTGATGGCGGTGTCATCACGCTGCTGCTGGTACTGCTGGAAGTTTCCATAGCGCAGGTGGAGGACTTGTCTTTCCGCTGGAGGCAGATCCTTACTGAATTCTTTCTGGAAGTAATACTCCGCCTTATCATACTGGCCCATGATGGCATAGAGGCAGGCAAGGTCTGAGCAGGCGCGGGGAAGGTTAATATTCAACTCGACAACTCTCTTAAAGTGATCCACCGCGTGTCTCGTCATCTTCTGCAGCTCTTCTTCATTCTCCTTCGTGGTATACCTCCTTGACCTCTGTATTTGCCGGATTTTTGCTCTGTAGCAGCATCCGATCTGCAGATGTTGATAGACGTTGTTCGGTACCGATTCTAAAGCCTTTTTAAGTAATTCGATAGCCGTGTCCAGAGTACCTTTATTTCGGTAATATTTGGCTGCGCTGCAGAGGACGTCTGTCGGGCACGGCGTTTTCTTCAAGGCCTCTTCGACTAGCTTATCTCCTTCAGCTTGTTTCTGGGTCTTTTGGAGAGTCAGAGCCAGGAGAACGTGAATATACTGGTTGTCAGGATTCAGTCGGATGGCCCGCCTCAGCAGGCAAATGGTGTTCTCTGTTGGTGCTTTGTCACCCAGACGGTAGAGTGTGATAGCCAGTCCCAGGGAGAATTCTGGATTGGTGGGTTTCTTTTGCAAAGCCTTCTCAAAACACTCCTTAGCCCGTTCATAATACTTTTCTCCCCATTTTAAAAGTGCCCATCCCTTTTCACAGTCAATCTCAGGGCATTCAATTCTGTAGGAGCTTGCAAACTTCTTGCAAAGATGTCCTACCTTGTCAACGTAAGCCTGTGCCTCTGGAAGCCTGCCCATGTGATAATAGACCCAGGCATAGTTTCCCCAGGTGACCAGACTTCGGATTTTGCCTTGGCGGGCCTGTCCATGCAGGATGAACTCTTCTGCTTGCTGTAAATATTCCAGAGCCGCCTTGTTCTGGCCTCGGAGGTGTTTAACATAGGCAAACAGATTGTACATGATTGCTTTGAATTCTTTGTTTAGAAACCGTGCCTGGTCACGCACTCTGTTCTCCAGATCATCTAAGGAACTTTCTTCATCATGTAAGTTCCAGGTGAAATGGCATTTCAGTTGCAGTAAGATATTTTCCAGGGAATGTTTGGTGATTTCACTGTAGGGGAAGAAGAGCAGACATTTGGGGATGTGAGTGAGCAGATGGACAAAGCAACAAGTTTAGGGCATGGCCCCCTGACCATTTCTGAGAAAAGGCCCAAACAGTGCTGGCACTCTGATCCGGAATTGTGAGAAACGAATTTCTGTTGTTTATTATAAGCTACCAGTCTGTGGTATTTTGTAAAAGCCCCCCAAATGGATGGAAGTCGATGGGATGGCCCAGAAGGAAGGGGGAGTGGAGGAAATTTATTACCCAGGGACACCCCAATTCCACCTGTCTTAGAGAAGGATGGGCACAGCAGTCCTGGACCTCCAACTGCAAAGCAAGGAAATTTCTCTGTAGAAATTATCAGAGAATGGTGCGGTAGTTGAGTAATAATATTTAGCGAGGTTGGTTTTTTGTTTCCTCTCTCAAGCATGGAAACCAGGGTGTGAGCCTGCACTTCTGATCCACCAGAATATTCAGGGAAACTAAGAGGAAATGCTGGGCTGAAGACACCAAGAGATGAGAGGGGGATCATTTGGGGCTGGGTGTGAATAGATATCCCTCAGGGGTCCTTTCCAAGGGATGGAGTGTGCACAGAGTGTTAATTTATTCAGGTTGGCTTGGGGCAGGCTTTTGGTCCATCTGACATTGGGCCAACAAGGGTAGCCCCGCCTGTGTCACTGTCTCTG